TAATACAGAATCCCTGCTTTTTTACATTTCAACTCATTCAGATCCCTCTTGAATAAAGGTCATCAATGATGGCTTAATCAAGAAATCCACCAGAAGTTTATCAGCCCTTGTTTAACATGACCTTTCTGTAACCTCTGACAATGATGACTATTTTGCACTTCCAGAAAAATCTCTTCTGTCTTGGCTTCTGTAGTACTATTTGCTCTTGGTTTATCTGTCACCTCTCTGAGCAATCCTTCTAAGTCTACTTTGCTGACAGTCGTTTACATGGTAATGTTCCCTTCCATCTTGATCATGATATTTCCTTGCACAGTACATTCCCATGGTTCATGTACTACTCATCTGTTAAAGAATCCCAATCCTATAATGTTATCGATCTCAGAAAACTCTCTCAAGATTCATTGCTATAATATATGTTGTATTCTGGATCTTTTTCACTTGAATACCCCAAAGAAACCAAATCTGTTCCAAGGTAGACTTATTTCCTAAGTATCTTCCCTCTCTCACCCCGTCTTCATCCAGCCACAAAATTCTATTTATTTCACAGGCTAAATATCCTTCATATTCACAGTTTTCTCTATATCTCCACTCCCGTTGGCTTTAATTCAGCAGTCAGCTGGGCACTGCAAAAATTAAAAGAGGAACAAGCAAAAACTACCTAAATAGCTTTATTGTTTTTAATTTCATCCCATTTTCAGTATACAACAGCTTATGTGATCCTATTAAAATTATATGGCCACATTCCTATTCAAAATCTTGCAGTGGCATTCCTTCATCTATAAAATCAACATCCATATCTTTAGCCGAATATAAGAAGCATTCATACTATGTACACCTTTACTTCTAGGCTCACCTACCACTCTCCACACATTCAACCTTGCCTCAGCTGCTTTGAACACTTATATTCACTACATGTGCTATGATCTTTCTTACCTTTGCAGTTTTGCTCATGCTGATGCTGCTAACTGGAAAAATTCTTCCCTTCTTTTCCTACTTCGAAAGTTATCTTTTAAGATTCACACAAATATCCTTTCTCCTACGGCCCTCTCCTGTGCAGTCTTCTATATCCTCTTTCTTGAGTTCTTCTGCATGTTGTACATGTTTTCATTACAGAAATTTACACAACGGCTTGTAAGCATTTCTTTACATGTACATGCTTCCTTCACGGGGGAAAGGAACCACGTCTTATTCATTTGTCTATGTCCAAAACCAGGCACAGTGCCTGGTGCTCAAAAGATGTTTGTTTTATTAATATTAAGCAGAAAGGAAGTATAACAGATAAAAGACATATGGTCTCTGATTCCAAAGACATACATTAAAAATCTAAACATTTATCATGAAAGAAATATATATGGATTTGCTTTCATTCCACCACAGAGTAGAACTAGTAAAATTTACAAAGAAGCAAATTTTTGTTTAATAAAATAATGTACTCTTTAATTCTTGGAGTTATCCAATAAACAAACAGGAAGACCCAAGGGTTAATGAGCTTTCCTTTACTAGATTCAGGCTGAAACAATATGGCTTGATCAAATAGAATGTGGGCTATATTTAATACTTTTTTTGGATGAGCTTTAAACCTCCACAAATCTGATGTTATTCTGTGAGAAAAAAAAAAAAAGAGACCGGTTTTGAATAATTTTGAAATAATCTTTTGAGGAAATAAGACTATTTGATATATCTGCCTTAACTTTGTATTTAAAATGCTAATTCTAAAATAAGTTCAGAGTTGATAATAAGAGTTCACTGAAATATTATATCCCACAATATTCTGGGAATGCATAACTAGAGACATTGTAGTGGAATTATTTGGGAGGAAAGCAATAAATACTTAACTGATTTAGGGTACTTAGGAAAGATGGACATATGAGTCAGATAAATGGAAGGTCAAATAGCACCTTTTTTTTACCAATAAAGATAAACTTTGTTAGCTCCTAAGCCACATTCTTCTGCAGACATAATAAATAACCCCTGCATTAAAAATACCCCCTGCCCCCAGACAAAGATGCAAGCTTCCCCTGTTGGACTGCCAGGGAGTAGACAGCAGAGCAGCAAAAATATTGGGAGGACCCAGACAACGTGGAGCCAACTCGGCTTTGTTTCTTCTCTATTTTCAATAATCAATGGAGGGCAGTGAGTGAAGAGGTGGAAAGAAGCTAGAAGTGGATCATTTACAAATTCTTCTGGAAAGCTAAGAGGAATTTTCCTCTTGTTTATGAAGAGAAAAGGAAGAATAGATCAGTACCAACATACTTGCAAGAGCAATATTTTTCAGTTGCTTCCTACTCTACAATTGGCTCTCTGTGTTAGAAAACAATCTTGCTCAATCCTAAAGACTAACCTCTTTCTTTAGAATGACTTGTTTTCCTGTTTACTCATGCACCCATGCATTCAACAAACATTTATTAAATGCCTCTCATGCTCCTGGTTCTTTTGTCCTAATGATCTTTACCAAGTAGCCTCCATGTCATTAAAGAGGTCTAGCTCTTTAGAGAAATGGCCTATTAACTAATGATGATGATGATGATGATGATGATAAGTGATATACAGGAGAATAGACACAGAAATATTATACTGTGAACCCAAAAGTGAAGGAAGAATTAATTACTGGAAGAAAAGAAAAGGGACATGGTAATGAAAATACCAAAAATGGAGTGGAGTTCTGGTACAAGCTTTGAAAGATAAATAGGTGTTCACTAGCAGAAAATGGGTGGGAACAAAGATATCCTTGGAAAAAGAATGTCCATGGGCAAAGGTACAGATATTTGCATATGCAGAAAGCATTAAACTAAAAGCAAAGTATGGCACAACATTTGATATATAAAATAAATATATTTGAGATATATATTTTTTTCACATTGAGCTTAAGTTTATTAAAGCAAGGAACTTTTATATAGTTTAATAGAGTCACAAGGATCTAGAGGTGAGACATTGTGAGCTAGTTAATAGTAACCAAATGATTTAGGGATTTATTCATTAACCATTATTAAATACCCTCTGGATCCCTCATCTTTGGTTGATTTCCAACAGTCATATCTCAGAGGTCTTGGCACTGGATGTCTGAATCTAAGAATTTATGTCTATAATATAAAGACCAAAAATATTTTGCTTCTGGGTCATTACAATTTTTAGAATAATAAGCCATTCCCTTGCAGCCTCTCTATTTGGTAGAATGCCATTCAGGAATGTGTTCCCTATCTGAATTCATAGGGGAAATAAAGCAGTACTCTTATTAAGAAAATCCATTTCCTCCAGAAGGATAAAGTATGACAAGGACTGTTTTTCCAACTTAATGTAAATTTCATAACATTAGCAGTGTGCCATACAAACTGCTGAATGGAGAGGCTCTCACACACCATATCCAGAATATATGGGCTCAGGAAAGACAGAGATTATATTTGCTTCAGCACAGGCACGTCCTCCGTACAACTCTTTAAGGTCTACAATGATGAATCTACTGCTCTGTCTTGAAATCTTAGTCTACTAGATGCCTTCTTTCAGAACAGCTAAAATGATGAGATTTTTATTTCTCCTCTCCTTCCTTCCTTCCTTCCTTCCTTCCTTCCTTCCTTCCTTCCTTCCTTCCCTCCCTGTCTTTTTCTCTTCACAGATACAGCACCAGTGATTGAAAAGCCTGACCTGCAAATCTGACAATTCGACTTATCTAGGACTATCTCTAAGTACAAGGTCGACATTATCTCAGCCTGCATCCTGTGTAATTATAGTATTTGGCTGGCATTGCTGAACAGGGGCTGAAATCCATCAGGTTCTAGTTAATCTGCCTTGAGTAACCACAGCTGGTTGGCCGGAAGAAAATTATTATGAAATAAAATTGTTGTGTCTTAATAATAAAGATAACTGATACGCAGGGCAGGATGGTCTAAGGTTAACCTTTTCCTTTTCCTATATATGAAGACCGTGCAATGGGAGGGAAGAGGAGTGATTTCTGTAAAGTCTTTTTCATTTTGCATTTTGTGTCTCTTTTCTTTTCACCTTATCTAATTTCCCACCAGTCCTGAATTTTCATTACTCTTAGTGAACCACATATATTAACCCTTTGGATGTTTTCCAAACAGCCCAAACTAGAAATGTAATGGGCATGAGATCAGCTTCCTTCTTTTTAATTAGTCTTCAAACTTAATTTTGTCTGGTTTTATTAAGAATCAGTTTATCTTGCTAATGCTGAGGCTATGAGTTATTCACACTGCAGACAGGATGACAATGAATTTACATGGTGATATTAGATTAGATTAGTATCCCTAATGATATGTGGCATGGTACAGCTGTATATTCAACACTTAGGCTTATAGAGCTGGGGAAAACTCCCCATCACCATCTATACAACACGAACAGCTCAGCACACTTCCAATTCAATAATTTTGACTCCTTGTAACAATAAAAGATGATCATAAAGTTATTTATCCAGCAGTTGTGGAAAGGCACAGATGGTGGTCTGGTGGTTAAGAGCACAGATTCCACAGTCATACCCAGTTCTGCCACCATTAGCTGTGTGACCTTAGGAAAATTACTTAACCTCTCTGTGCCTAAGTTTTCTCAAAATTAAAACGGAAATGATAATATTAATAGCCACCTCATGTGATTATCATGAACATTAAATGAGTTAACATAATTGAAAGTGCTTAGAACTCTGCCTGCCATTTAATAAGCATGGTAAGTGTTCACTGTTGCTAATACTGAAACAGCTGAAGAAACAGGCCTAGCTGGATCAGGATCCTGTTGTGTAGTCAGTAAGCACAGCTTTCAAGGTCTTTAACTCTAAATTCTTGTGTTTGATACTTGACTTCAGGCTATTAACATTTAACCAAAGGTTCATAAATAAGATGAACTATCGTTAAATCCATCATGTTAATGTGTCTACTTATAAGAAAATAAAATTGCACATAAAAAAAGCATGCCATGGGTTTTGTTTGGCAGGATAGGAGGAGAGCAAGAGAGGACATGGGAAGATAATTTGGTAGAGGCCAAGGCGTCTGGACATGGTGACTCTCAGGCTCTTCCTTATTCCACTGCTGTCATGCTTACAATACAGGATCAAGATGACTGTGGACATTCCCCCTGCAAAAGAATTCATTTCAGTTTCTGGGTTTCTTAGTTCACTTTGGCATTCATGCCTTGGCTACCACACGGACTCTTCTTTCTTCGTAATTACATCTCTAATGTAAATGCATCTAGCAATGATCCTTAATTACATCCTCTTAATTACATATCTACTGCAGATGCATACCAACTCCTCTATGTCAATGTTTAGTCAACTGGTTAATACTAACCTAAACAAATACATAGACACATAAGAAAATCATCAGTGGGGGCTTTGGGATCAAAAGATAGACTGAGAAATATGTATTTTAAATAATTTCTCATAATTTTTTGTGGTCTTTTAAATTTGGGGAATTGCTTTTAATCACGTTACAATACCTCTTTCTCATTTTTACAAATCTTAACTGAATTTCTAAAAGAAAGAAAGGAAAAAGCTTGAAGACAGACTCTAGATGTTCATTGTGTGTGTGTTTATAGATTTCAAGACATCATACATATATTTATGTATTTTTGTTTATCTTGCAATATCTCCCTTTATTTTAGCTGAATATAACATATAAAAGTCAAAACATGCCAAAATGCATAGATCCTCTTTAAATTAAAAAAAAAATGTAAGCCATCCATCTGAGAGTCATTTTGATGTATTTTAGCATCTAAACTGAATTTCTGCCCAGGTGCTTACTTCTCACCATAGTAAATCTGCACATCTCTTATTAATGTCAAGGAAACTTACTCAAGCTTCCTAATGGAAAGATAATTTAAGAAAAAATATATTTTGAAAAAGAACAACCACTGTCAATTGGAAGAAAAGAAAAACTTTCTTTGTTAACATTTGATGCTGGGCAGGAGAAGTGCCTACATTTTCAGTTGTTGAGAAGAAACGGTTTCTCAAGCATCATCTTTTTAGATGGGCTTTATAATGGGTGATTTTAAGATCTTCTTTTGCTCCCAAAGTGTGCCTCTAGATATGAGACCGGGATTAAATCATTTTAGTAAGATATTCAGCAGTCTATCTCTTTTAAATATATCATTATGAAAATTGAATTTTCATAAGATCTCACTTTCTGGGGTTCTTATTTTTTTTAAAGCAGTGGTCTTTTTTTTATTCGTTAATAATATTCAGTGCATCTTGTGTTTCCATTCCTATAGTGAGCTTCCTAACATCTGTTTTCCATTTTTCTTTAATTTCCACTCATGACCTTTGGCCTATTCTCTGTGTTTGGAAAAAAACAGGAATTAAAGTTGACATTATCTCTATGCCTTCTCCAAACTGTATAAATTCACATTCTTAGCCTGCCTTCTATCTAAGTGCAGGCTTTCCGACCACAAAAGCAATTTGTCTACCTATTGTCTGGGAGGATGTTTCATAATGTTCAAAACAGAAACTGACAAGCCCGAAGTTGGGTTCTGGGGGTTGCCGGGGCTTCAGAGAACCAGAATATTTGTTCTAGATCTGTGACCACTGTCAGAAAATTGCTCTGGCCTAGTTCACTGTTCTAGAAAATCCCCAAAGCATGATAAAATGTGAACTTTTTATAATTATTACACTGTCTCTTGCATGAGACTGAAGAATGTGATACTAATATAGTATGAGAATTATGTTGTACACACTTAAAAACATTTTAAAAACATTAGGCAAATGAGTAGGTACTCATTGGTAATGGTAATGCTTAAGAAGCTAAGTTATTCACCAAAAGCAATGATGAATTAAGCGAAGAAGAATATTATGCTAATGCAGATTATACATTGGAACATTGAAAGCCTGAGCAATATAGAACCCACAGACAACAAATAGTCTGGATAGGTGGGTGAATATGTGATGGATTATCCAGGGAATCTGACATTTTTTAATGATGCTAAGTGTAGTGCAATACACATTTTTATCCTTCTTTTTATAAAATTGAATTAAAATTTACATGCAAACAACTTGGTGGATTTTTTCATATGTCTATGTTTGTGTTCTATGCCCTCTTAAGCAGAATAGGCCTAAAGATTAAGTTTTCTTGCTATTCCAGGCTCAGAAATGATTGTACTAAAATATTGTAATGCCCTCAAGGTCTAATGATGTGACTAGACGTCTTTGTCCTGACATTAAAAGATGGTTGTGCTTGGGGCACCTAGGTGGCTCAGTCAATTAAGATCTGACTCTTGATTTTTGGTTCAGGCCATGATCTCAGGGTCATGAAATAATACAGCCCTGCATTAGGCTCTATGTTTGGCAGGGAGTTTGCTTGACATTCCCCCCCTCTTCCTTTGCCCCTTCCCTGGTTTGTGCTCTCTCTCTGTCTCTAAAATAAATAAATCTTAAAATTTTCTTTTAAGAAATGGTTGTGCTTTATCATATTTTGGTTCTTTTTGTTTTCTATAGATTTTCTGTCTCTTTTTTGTTTTAACTTGATTATCTTTATATGCCTGAGCCAAACACATTGGGTCCAATAAAATGTTCAACAAATGTTGACAGTAATGAATTGGATTTCTGATGTCCATGCTTGTGGGGATTACATGTGTGGTGAAAGTGAATAATACTGAGTATTTTTGTCTTAAGAAACAAATATTAGTAATGCTAATGAGTTTTTGGAGATTGTGAAATATCTTACTTATCCAAACTGGGGTAAAGCTTGCCACAATATTTCATGAGTTCTATTGACTCTAGAGTTACCTGTGCTAGTGACTGAGAACCTAAGTTACAACAATGTTAGAAGGACCTAGCAGGGCATCCCTAGTGGCTTAGACGTTTAGCGCTGCCTTCAGCCTGGGGAGTGATCCTGGAGACCCAGGATCGAGTCCTATGTCGGGCTCCCTGCATGGAGCCTGCTACTCCCTCCGCCTGTGTCTCTGCCTCTCTCTCTCTCTCTCTCTCTCTCATGAATAAATAAATAAAATCTAAAAATAATAATAACAATAATAATAATAAATAATAATAATAAAGAAGGACCTAGCAGAGAAAGAAGGATGATTGGCTGACAATGGCTCCAGTCATATTACAAAATGAGACAAATCCTGTAAAAGACTATTCAACAAGCAGCCTGCTTCAGTAGTATAGGGATTACATACAGACTTCATTTTATGTGTTGGAAAGCTTCAAAGGCATTTAGCTTTACTATGTTCAGAACTGGCAAAGATTATGCTACACAATCGTCAAGAGTTTCTTTGATTTTTACAACACTTCTACTCCATTAGGAAGGATTGGAAGGAATGCACCACAATCGTAAGGAAGGTCTGTTACATAGAGCATGAAGTTCCAAACTCTAATTTGTCACTCCAAGGGGCCTGTGTCAACCTCCTCTTCACCTCAGTGTGTGGCTCACATGAATATTATAGAGACAGAAAAGTGGTGAAGATCCCTTGAACTTTGGTTTCCAATTTGGTAGAGATATCCAACAGAGGATTTATAAGAAGTCCAAGAAAAGCATAATTCCCTGAGAAGCAGAAACCACAGATAATTAGATCAATAATTGTTACCCAAAACTCACTACAGAGAGAGAATTATGCTATTAACCCAGATGGAGGACTTCAGGCTGCCAAACATGCTCCACACTCACCCCAGCCTTGCCTCAACCTACAAGACCACTTCACTAGAAACAGAACTAACAAAAATCTCAACTTTTCTACTCCTTTCAGCATTAGCAACTAGTTTTACAAGTTTTCTTTAAAGAATGAATATTCTATTTATTGACATAAAATGCTTTTTATAAAGATTCGGTTGCATATTTCATCGTTAATACACTACCCTTAGAGAGGCGCTGTCTCAAAAAGGATAGAAAACTAAATTTTCTGTGAAGAAAAAAGTGAGTCTAAAACTAAGACAAACCTTATCATTTATCTTACTTTTATAATTTAGGATTATTTTTAATCAATTACCTACCTATAATGTTGACTGGGTCTCTGGATCTTTTTCTCCTAATGTCCCCTTACACAATTCTTTGAACTCACAGTTAAAAAACAAACAAACAAACAAACAAACAAAAAAACTATCAATGCCTTTTCTATCCTTTTAGAACAATAAGAAAGTAACCAAAATGTTTTCCATGATCTAGAGAAGTATATAAATACATTAGAAATCTTAATAAAGGCTAGCTATTTCTATCCACCATCACGCTTGAAAACTAGGAATTTATTTTTGGTTGATTTTATATTTTTTCTCTGGTGTGTCATAAGAGTGATCATCAAAGTAACAAAAGAGGATTTTTTTTCTTTGACACCAGACCATGAAATATAAGACATAAATCTGGCTAACCATTTGTACAAATTGTTATTTAAATGCCATTTTAGCATTCTGAATATATGACCCTTCACTCTTCCAAGTTACTTAGTTTCTTTTTTAATATGTCTTATTCTCCATGACAAAGTTTGTGCATCAGATGTTTATTCCCACTTTCTTAAAAAAAAAAAATTAGTCTTGGCATAGTACAGGCATACTTTTGATGTTTGTTTCCTTCTCTTCCTTAAAAGAAAGGTCCAAAAACAATTCCAAAATAGCCAGTGATCTCTTGATTCTCTGAGTACTTATTATTTAAATTCAATTTGCCAGCATATAGTATAACACCCAATGCTCATCTCATGTTAAGGCACTTTCTTAAATGGATAGTCCAATTGTAACTACTATTTGCATTAGGGGCCAGTTTCCACACCTCCCCAGATTGGACCACTCTCATCTGCACCTCTTGCCTCTGCCACTTGCCCGGCTTCCCCACGTTGAAAGCCTGGACACATTGTCTCAACATCATTTCATCTTCCAGTAGCATGGCCTCCTGTGCACCCGGGCAGTTGGAGTCAAACAATCACCAGAACCTAACTCTTACCCAGAGGGGCTTATGGTGACACCGACTGATTAGGGAGCTGTATTGGAAGGCAAGAGAACAGAACCTGGAAGTGCAAGAAATTCAAGAGAAAGAAGGAGAGGGTGGGTGGAGAAAGGAAAGAAGAGCTGGCAAATAAATTCTTCCAGTTTCACCTTCTTCCACAACTATTCTGGTGCACAACACCCCATATTGCTTCTCCAGAGCTTCCCTGTTTAT